TCCTGTAGTTGGTAGTGGGGGCATGAGACCAGTATATGCTACACATATTTTTTAGGAATGTATAAAGTGTGATGTTTATTGAATTGAAGTGTATTGAATGAATGATCCTCTAGATTGTAAATTCCTTGATGGCAGGGATTTAGTAGGCAAATCCTTGATGTGCAGCTTTATATATCTCCCAGCTTCTCATACTGAAGACTTTGGAAACTTAACTAATACTCTGAATAAATAAAATAAAATTTTAAATAAAATATTTATTTAACAAACATTGAGCATGTATGATGGTTGTAATCCTGCTTTGCAGCTGTGAAACTCTCACTTCCCTTGCCTCTCAGAAATTCACAAGTGAAACTTTTGGTGAGGACATTGCATGAAATTATATCTTTCAGGAATCATAACACTGAAAGGAAACAAGACCTAAGCAGCAAATGTTTTTAGATATCCAATTTATGTCCAAATTGAAAAGTCACTGAATATTTGTATGTATCATGCATAAAGATAATTTGTGACAGAGTTATCTTTTACTCCCACAGCACTCTGAACTACTAGGTCTCAAACACAAAGATTTTGCAAGTCAGCATAATATCTTTTTATTTTGGTGACTCATTTAAAATGAAACTATTCTTATCATATAAGGAACCTTTGGAAACTGTCCTTGAATCAAAATTATACAGAATAATAGTTTTAGAATGTAAATAATATTAGAATAGAATTATTTACAGTCTTACCTTGGGGCTTTAACATTCACAACAGATTCTGAAATCAAAGTAATGAAATGGAATGAAAATGGAATGATTAAATTTGAAGACTCAGATTCAAAATTTAACCTTTAAAATACACACGTGAATATAACTGATGGGGTTGGAATCTGAGCCCCAGAAAGGAAAAACTCTGGCCCTGATGGGGTTGGAATCTGAGCCTCAGAAAGGAAAAACTCTGGCCCCAGACCATTTCCCACCCTTGGTAATTCTGTTACCTCATGGACTCTGTACTTTCCCACATGGCCAAATCTCTGGTGGCTATAGTCCCATCAACTGGTCTTTCATTGTGGCTGCACCCAATCTCCCCTCTATTGTCTTGCCTCCCTATGGCCCCAGGCCACTTCCCACCCTTGGTCCCACCTAGGATCCATTTCCTACCCTTGAGAATTCTATTACCTCATGCACTACTTGGCCACTCTCCCACGGTCTTTCTATATATAAGGTCTATCTAGTCTCCATTAAGATGCTCAGATTTTTACAATCTAGCCAATAGCCCATAGATGCTCAGACTCCTTAAGTGTCCAGCTAATATGGCGAATCTTCAATAAACTTTGTTTTTGGCTGCAAGAAGACTTGGGTTGAATTTTTCGGGCAGGACCCGGGTATCATGATTTTGGGGTGCTAGGACCCCTAAACTCTAGACCGCATCATAACCATAAATGTATACTAAATATTTAAATTTATATTAATATATTTGTAATTAGATTTATTTACTTTGAAATCTTAGTTCTCTATGAAGCAAAGATCTTTGCTTTATCTCCTAATCAATACACTTCAGTGGTTTCCTAACACCTCTAGGATCAAATATAAAATCCTTTGTTTGATGTCCCCCTCTACCTTTCCATTCTTTTTATAAATCTCCCCCTAAACCCCAACATTTACTCTAGTGACACTGGACTCTGCTGTCCTTATACAAAACACTCCATCTTTTGAGTATAGGCATATTCACTGGCTATTCTGCCTGCCTGGAATGTTCTCCCTGCTCATCTTGACTTCCCTGGCTTCCTTCAAGTTCCAGCTAAAACCTCACCTTCTACAGGAAGCTTTTCCTGATCTACTTTAAATTACAATTTTACACACACACACACACACACACACACACACACACACACACACACACA